GGCCAGTACCCCATATAATTCAAAGTCTGCATTTGTGATTTTATTGGTAACTTCACATCCCATACAATAAATTAGAATTCATTATGATCCCATGAGTTGATCCTTTGTAGCCAACACAGCAACACAAATCACTTTTTCCTTGACTAAAATTTTGGCTTACAGAAGTAGAACTACTTGAAGCAGGGCAAGTTTTCACAGCAAACTCTGGCCTCCAATTAGATTTTCATGACTCCTAGTTAGAATGTTGTGGGCAGCACTGACAGTCATGTTCATCTCACTTAACTTTTTGCACTTCAGTAATAAGTAACAAACAGGGCACCTAATCTGGCCATGATGCCTGGCTCCCCCCTTTCCCTTATTCTTATCGTATATGCAGGTCCCTAGCTTGTAAACTTGGTACATTTTAAAGTTATGCTTTAGACATTTTCTGGCAATGAAAAGAACAGGGAGGGTCATTACTCAGAAATGGATTATAAGTTATAAAGTGAGAAAATTCTATAAAATAAATGTTAGTTTTGTGCAAGCAGGCAGATGTGAATACCATTCATTTTTAAGAAATTCAAAAAACTACCTGCCCTCTGAAGTAAGTATGGAAATATGGGCACATTTCCATCAAGTATCAACAATTAAACTGTTGCAGATTTAAGCACTTTTTCTTCTGCTACTCAGTACTTTCACTTTAACAAAATCAGGATGGGCTCATCATCATTATGAATAAATATTACCAGGTTATTTTGTTACTGTAACTTGTACATGCCCTGGACCTGCTTTAGAGGTTTGAAATACTCACATCTCTGAAAGACTGGAAATGCAGACTTAAGGTAATCACTGAACTCAAAATTGTGGGAAGACAAGACCTCACAGAACAACCTTATTTCCACATGAGAATTTGGCAACAGCTAAATCAGCAGAGTCACTCCTGGCTACAGGCATGTTGTAACATGTCTTATATGCAACAATATTTGAATTTGAAAAGTTGAGTCTCATTTTTACTATCCCTAGCTTCTTTTCATATCGCCAATTATGGTAATGTGCTATTAGACTTTGATTTAGCTAGGATAAGAAATTAGTGGGGTATGCTAAATGAATTGTTCCATATTAGCCCTTCTCTTAGTGTAGGGAAAATTTCACTACTACCAACTTTAAAGCAAAAAATGAAATCTAATAAAGCAAAGGGTGGATTTCAAAGATTTGCCTGCCAACTTTTTTCTAAATACCACTTTAAAATGCATCTAAATTCCCACCCCCCCCCCATCCCTCCCTGCATCGGGCAGATCATTTTTGGCAATAAGAGGTGTATTGCTGTGGCTGGATTATGAAGTTTCCAGGCTGAAATTTATGCTTGAATCTGAAATTTTACAAGTTAATTTTATTACACAAATGCAAAAAAAAAAAAAGTCACCACAGACCATAATAAGGAAATGTAGTTTTTAATGGCAACAAGAATAAAATTAAGTTGTCCAGGACTAAAAGGCTGGAACTACATGATTCTGAGAAGTGTACTGAATAGATTCCTCCTCCCTTCTCTCCCCAGTAGTGACGTATTTTAAAGAACACAAAACAGAAATGACTACCACTTCCTTTATTATGAGAAACACAATTAAGGAGAATCAGTGTCCTTCTTTTATGAAGAACAGTGAACACTGTTAAAAAAATGCCACCAGCAAGAGGGGAGAAAGAGACTGGCTCCAAGGCAGCTAAATACATTTCTATAGTATGCCTTATTTAGTTTAGAGAACTCCCAGAGCTGTGCTGGATGCTTTGCATACACAGACTGAGAAAATATCCTGCTCCAAAGTTTGTAATCTAAACTAGGTGGAGAAAAACAAAAGGAATGTGAAAAAGAAAGAACAAAACAAAAAACAAATAAATATACCTGCACAACAAAAAAGCAACAAGCCAGGCTCTGGCACTCTTCTGGACCCCGAACCATTGCAGCATTCATCTCCCTTCCCATCTTTTTACACTATTTGAAGCACACCTTCACCCTTCTGGCTCCAGTGACTGTCCCCTTTCCTTTTCATTTAGCTATCAGGTGTAAGTAGAACATCCACCTGGATAATAGCAATGAAGTTTATAGCTGAAAGAAAGGGCATAGCCCTCTGAACAGCTGGCCACTCATGATGCCCACTGAATATCCAACAGCACCCACATACTCTACACCAGGAATAGGCAACCCCCAGCATGGGTGCCAGAGTGCAGCATGCAACTGCATTTTGTCTGGCACATGTGCCTCTGGGGCAGATGGCAGAGAAGGGGCCAGGTCTGTGCTGCCACAAGGACTGGACCCCTTGTGGTTCCCATGCCGTCTGCCTCTGGCACACCAACATTTTATGAGTCAAGGTTGCAGGTGTTTCTGGCACTCTGCCCAAAAATGTTGTTTACCCCTGCAACTTGTGTATAATAGTGGGAGTCACATGGTATTTAAGCAGTGGTTCTCAACCAGGCCCCCATGAGTCCTCTTAGAGGGGCCAGAGCAGTGGCAGTGAGATAAAAACTGTCCCACGGGCTCCCCCTGCCTTAGGGCTCTCTGCTGCCTGCTTTAGGCTGATTAAAGCTGCCTAGTGGTATGCAGTGCTTCTTGGTCAGATGCCCCCTACACTCCTCCAACAAACAGACTCAGGTAAAACTGTTGCATCTGCTTATTTCCAGGAGGAGTGTAGGGGGCACCTGATCGGGAAGGGTTATACAGCATGAGATAGATTAGGCTGACTTGAGAGCCCTAATGCAGAAGGAGTTCATGCATTTGGTACAGCCCCTCACAGGCTGGCTGTGTGGCAGGCATGCAGGGCAGTTTTATCTGGAGACAGCAGAACCTCGCTGAGAAACACTGATGAAAGCTGAACCAACTGGTTCTTAGCTGGGGATGTCCCCCATTCAAATAAAAGTGATGGTGGTGAAAGATATATGCCTTCACTTATTTCTATTGCAACACTGCATGAGTATCAGGGCTCTTTGATCCAACTTAAGCGACAACTAGCTCTTATGTGTGCCCCAATGTTTACAGAACGCTAGGAAGACATTTGACAAGTATGATTAAATTGTTTTTGAGCATGGTAAAGACACTGTAGTCCATGAGCTTATTAACTTTCCAAATGCTTCCATCTACATTCAGATGGAACTACATGGAGGACAATGGGAAGGCAAGATGAAACCTCATGAAAAAACTCTGGGGAAAGACAGCAATTATCCAAAACCATCTTTTGACTTCAACATGAAACAAAACTACTGAACAATAACCTAAATTTTTGTAGCTAGCATTCACACCACTTCATGATCAACTACATCACAAAGCTAAAATAACCAGGTTGCATTTACATCCTGGAGATTACCCATCAAATCAATCAGTGCATGTGCCACACCAATGTCTGTGCTCAGAATAATGCTCAGAGAGATCAGAGTACCAAAGTTACATCACCACAACCTTCCCAGTCTTAACCAAAAATGTAAAATTAGGCACAAGAGAGTAGTTTGTCATGTGTTCTCCCCTCCTCCAAACTTCTGCAGAGGAATGAAAATTGTGAGCTTTCTTCAGAGCTTTATGTTAAGAAGTTTTCAAACTGGCCACTTACAAACAGAACACACATTTGCCCTTTGGTGGGAGGTAGAGGGAAAGGGTTTTTTTTTTGAGGTAAATCTTTGACTGGGTTCCACCATTTTTAAACCAGTCTGTTTGCACCAAACTTCTGTTCTGTTACAGGTATAGACCAGTTTGGCATGTGAACTTCTGTTTTGATACGGGTATAAACTGGTTTCTGATCACTTACACTGGTAAAAGCGTAATGTCTGTAACCTGGCCTTGAACATCTTTGTATCGGGTGAAAAATTCAAATATGAGAGCTCTACACTGAAGAGTCCCTGGGATATATACAAATCAGTTTTGAAGCGGAATAGTAACTACAATTACAGGGATTTAACAACCCAATTATTTCTTTTAATATAAAAGCTGCATTAAATAGCCAAATAGAGTCAATTAGCCTCAAAAGTAGTCCCAGCTTGCATCATGCACAAATCAGGATCCTTCACCCTCAACAGATTATGGATGGATGAAGCTGTATTAACCAATCTCCTTTTTCCATGAAATCATAGTACTCCCCTCCGTATACACCTTGAATCTTTGAGAGATAAAACAAACCTAGTGGGATCAAGATTAACTACTGGACTTGATTCACTTTGTGGATACTGATGACTGGCAGAGCACATCTGCTCATTCAAGAGTACAGCAATAACTGGTATTTTCTAGAAGATATTCCAGGAATCTTATGGCTTATAAGCATGTTAAGCATGTAAACTGGAGCAGACTCACTGTATCATCTAGCAACTGCTTCAAATGATAAGGAGAGCACCATTATGAAGCCTAGCCAGAATATGAAATTGCCTCCCCTCAGTATATCCACTATAAGAGGTGGCATAGAGTTCCCTCTGCCTTCCTCTAGAGCAGTTTTCCAATCTCACAACTGCCCTCATGCACGCAAGAGAAGCTGCAATGCAAGTTTGTTCTTCACTGCATCTACAGGATGAATCTGCTCCATAATCTGGGTTCCTGTAACATAGATTTTTCCTGCTGAGCAAAAATCCAAGCACAATTAAGGCAACTAAATAACCGAGTTGAATGTCAAAGCTCAGTGAGTGGTTTGTTACTTCTTTTTGTACTTATAGATTCAAAATTAGGGCATCATGTCCTCCATATAATCAAACACTTTCTTCCTCACAGAAGCTAATAGATATTACACTCCCTGCAAAATATCAAGGTATTCCTCCATGCTGAATTGGAAGTAGCAATGTGAAACTACAACAAATCTGTTCAGTGCCTTTTATTCTGAACTATAAACAGGCTAGTTACTATGCTAACTATAGTTATATAATGTTATCCAAATTTTAAAAACACGCAACAGAACTGTTGTTAAATGAAACTCTTGTTTAGTACCTGTGTTAAAAGAAAGCAAGAATATACCAAGTAACAGCAGAAGGGAGAAGATAAATATCTTTGCTGATCATACCTTCAAACGATTAGTCATGTCCTGACAACAGCTGCTCATTGCTTGCACATCTTCATTTATACTTTCAAGTTCCTGAGAAAGTAGGGCAAGACACCATTAGCTGGTTTTATTAGTTCTAGAGTGGTATTTGTACATGCAGTAGTCCAGGGACCATCTATTGGACCAAGTATATAGTTGAGAGACTTATTAGAAAAGATTCTAAGCAGAGAACATTTTTCTTCAAGTCTGGAAAAGCAGATACAGCCTAAGCTACATTTCAATTTGAACAGCAGTTTCATTTGACCTAATTTTATTAATAAGTATGTTAACTTCACACACACAGTCCCAGTTTTAACCCATGGAGCACAGAAGTCTATTCAGCAGTTGCTACCAACTAAAGTTTTTAAGCAGTGACATTATACCAAGTCTTCAGTTTAAGTCCATCTACCTAAGTTTCCCAATCATAAGCATATGAGAGGTTCATATTTCTGCACTAGCTTTCACCCTCTCCAAAAGTGGCTCTGAAAATTGTCCATGCTCTTCTTGGCCCACTTTTCCTATATTTGCTTTCAATTACTAATGAGCATCTTAAGACTAAGAAACAAAAGATAAAAATTGCCCTTCTCTCTCTAGCAAGAAGCAATCCCAGTCCATGCTCATACCAGTAAGAAACACTGGTATATAGAGAATTTTCAGTACACAAGAATTCCTGTACAGAACATGAAGAAATGAAGGGCATAGTTTGGCAACCATTGATCCCTTCTGGATCATGGTGTATGCATGAGAGGTCATCCAGACCTTCAACACCTAGGCAGGAGTTTTGGAGGAATGCAGGCTGCCCAGACCTTTCATCCCCACTTAAGGCCACCAAGACAGAATCCAAAGGCCAGATTAAGTCCAGACGTTTAGTGCCTCCATGGCTGTAGTGGTATAAGCATCCAGGAATATCTAATAGGTTAGATATTAGGAAGAACTACTTCACGGTAAGGGTGGCCAGAGCCTGGAATAGGCTGCCAAGAGAGGTGGTGCTCTCACCTTCCCCGGAGACCTTCAAGAGGAGACTGGATAGGCACCTGGCTGGGGTCTTATGACCCCTGCCACTCCCAGTGCTCCTTCCTGCCCTTGGCAGGGGGTCGGACTAGATGATCTGTCTAGGTCCCTTCTGACTCATTGATTCTATGATTCTATGAATGAAACCTAGGTCTCCTGCAGGGCAGACAAGGATTCTATCACTAAACCACAGCAGACTCCAAGAAATGAAGGACCTTTTGTAAATTAATTTCTAATTACTAAAGCAAAACATTTGCTCAGGATTCAATTACAGTCTCCACTGCAATGGAAATTCACAATTGCAAGCAACAGTTAATTAGTGTTTTATAACGATGGGTGCTATGTAGCTCCCAGCCTGCGCTCAATTTGTCAGACTGATAGTTAAGTGTTCCACACATACTCAGCTCTTTGAAAATGAGTGGCAGGACCATAAAGATTCTAGATGCCATAAACTTTTAGTTGGTTCATTCATAAAGGAAAGATACACGAAACTTAGTCAGCCATTTTTCATTAGCCTGACCAAAAGACCACCTAGTATAGTTAAATGAATATTTCAGATTGTACTTGGGTAAAAAACTGGTTGTAGGTACAGACACAACATCTTAACTCCAGTATACATGTGGAACAGAGATATTACATATAGATTTACACGGGATAAGTGGAAAACAATCCCTTGGACCACTTACATTGGTGCATGTTAGGTTAGTACAGAAATGGGCAATTATTTAGGTCGGATGGTCAGTCGAGTTTTGGCGAGCTGTTGAGGGCCACGCACATGCATGGATGCACTCAAATGTTCCAGACATGCACCTGCAGCCCCACCTATGCTCTGAGACCCCAGCATGTGGTGGGATCAGCCAGGAGCCACACCAGCTGAACCTAGCAGCCTAAAGTGGCGTGCAGGAACACAGCATGGCACCAGCCCAGCCACATGTGGGGATCAGGGCAGACGAGGGAGTGTACGGAAAAATGGGGCTGAGAAGCACAGGTTATCTGAGCCAGGCAGCTCACTACGGTCCCCGCTTCTCCCCACTCCCCCGCCTCTAACCCAAAGTCCCCAGCATGCAGCCAGGCTGGACCAGTGCCATACTGTGTTCCCACATGCTGCTTTGAGTCATATGGGTGCAACTGGAGCAGCTGGCATGGCTCCTGCCCAAACTGGCTGCATGCTGGAGACTCAGGATCAGGCAGGAGCTGTGTCAGGGTCAGGCAGAAGCTGCCCCAGCCACTCCAGCCATGCCCACATGGCATGGTCCGAAGCGGCACACAGGAACACAGAACAGCATCACGCTTGCAGCGCCCACATGCCTACCCAGCCCTGGCCCAGCAGGGCCTGGATAACTCATGGCTTCTGGCCCTCTTTCCCCTGCACTCCCTCCCGTATCAGCAGGGAGAACTATACTTGAGCTTCGACTTTTACCAGGAGCCAAGCTGTCTGGTCCGCAAACAGCCACAAGGTCAGAACACA